TACAGGCCTAGAACAGCAAACAGCCTAGATTTATTGAAAGCATACTATAAAAGACTTATAAAATTAGAGAAACATTGTATTTTTACTCCTGATTACCTATACAGGAGTATACACATAGCTCCTGAACCTGAAAATAAAACCCTGAAATGGAAAGCTCTATATTTTAAAGAAGTTAAAAGTGTTTGTGTTTGATGACGCTTCCAAATAATTTCAGTTACAAAAACTTCCCCTGTACAGAGTTCTTAGTAACAGGTTGGGGGAGGCTAGCAAATGTGGTTTGATGTGGGTTTCCTTTCTAGCCTAGAGGCACAGGATTATAAATGGAAATCGTGGCTTTGTAAACTACACTGCAGGGCCCAGCAGGTTCCCAGAAATGCCACTTGAGTGGCTGAGAGTTAACTTCGCTTTGCATCACTTCAGCAGAAACAAGGTTTGACAAATTCCCCCCCGAAACACTAAATCCAGTACAGCTCATTTTTGCTAAACTGCAAATGTCTTTCAGCTTTAACTCACAGCATACTAGGGCAATGGTTATGGAAACATGAATTCATGCTAGACATGCACAGTGTGAAATTTTTTCAATGCACTGATTATATAGCAAGGGTATGACATGCAGATACCTCACATTCTTTCCTAGCCGTAGTGATTTCTGACCTAGAACATGAGCTGCTTTTCTGGACAGTTGAGAAGTCTGTATATTTCATCTGGTCTGTATACTTCTTCTGCTTATACTGGTCATTTGCACAGAGTCTCATTCAAGTCTCATTTTGGTATCAGCACAAGCATTTGCTTATATATTAAAAAAATTGTATGTTTAAATCCACTTTAAATGCACTTTTATACGTTTGCTCTACTGTCAGAAAGATGTTCTATCTTCTTTTCTCTCAGTTTTTGAGTAAAAAGGCAATGCCCACAAGCGCTTCATAGTTACAGCTTCCACCATGAGCTCGCACTATAGAGCCTTACTTTGAGGAGTTACATTCCAAGGAGGCTTGAAGCAATTTACACTGCTGCAATACTGTGTCACCAACAAAATGCGGTGACAAGCACTGCCGAAGGGGCAGGTGCTGCCCTGCTAGCCCCTGTTTGATGTCGATGGGACAGGAGGGGAGAATTAGGCGGAGAAGAAACAAGTGTAACCGCAGAAGGGCTGAGATGCCTATAAAATGTTCGCCGTGTATTGTAGGCATTTGCTGCCAGTGTGACTTCCATAGACACAACAGTGATAATCCCCTCACTTTGAGGACAAGAGTGTATGCAGTGTAGTCTCAGTGTGTAATTTTATCTTACGGTTGCAAAGAAAAAATGAAAGATCTTCAGGCAGTAGTTCTTGTATATTTCTCTCATGTTGTTTTGTAGCATCGATTTTTGTAACTCTCTTAATAAATCGCAAGCGTTTTAAGAAGAGAGAGTATTGCAGTGGTTTCTTTTGTATGTTACTCTTACCGCATACATCTATTTCACTGGATGTGTTTCTTGGTTCCCAGGGCAACAGTTTTCAGATCAAACATGATTACCTGTATCATACCAATCATCAGAGATGTGGGCAAACTTTGGAAACTTCTAAATTGAGGAAACGTTACCAGCTGCTATGAGGCAGGACTCTTCAAAAGTTGTCTGAATGAAAAGGCTGACATCATATGCTTCTGCCAATTACTTAAAAATGACATTAAATGATGAAGTTGCTTAAAATTTATTTTACTATAAATACATAGAACATAAAAGAAAATAGATATTGCAAGAATACATTGTTATAATTCTACCAATGTGCTCATTTAGAATAAACTAATATTTCTTATAAAAGCTTACCAATTTTTATTTAAAATAATGAAAATTATTTAAATTCAAATAAGTTTGAATTGCATTACTGAGGCATAGCTAATATGAGAAACAGTCCACAGCTGTGTTCTAAAGCATATCAAGTTCTTCAGAGCTACAGAATCTGAAGGTCGGAAGGCCAAATCAGAAGAGTCTTAGAACAAAAGTCTTCCCTTTAAATCTGAAAGAGTTTACATATATCTTTACCTAGAGTAGAATGGGACTGAAAATGGACTTGGAGTCTGTTATAAGTATTATCTATGAGTAAAGTGCAACACTGGCTGCAATTTGTAAGAATCCTATCCATCCTATATGCACAGCACAGAGAAAGGAGGAGCTGTAATAATATCCAGATTTCAATATATCAGGGAGATCGAGTTGGGAAATGTCGCAGGCATGTGGCTGCTCCCCTGTCACAAGGCCAAGGGTGAACAACTGTTCAGGCAGTCGTAACACTTTCCTCTTTATGCGTGAGTTTTTCTAAGTTAAATATGGACAGCCACTCTCACAGGACACTCTGTGGAATCATACATCTTAGGAAGAAAAGTGGAAGTGATCTTGGCATTCTTGGCTGTTGTCTCTGAAATAAACAGTACATCTAAAATACTATAATGTAAGGTCTGGTCCAAAGGGAATGGTTACTTTTATGCTGACTTTACACTTATAAAGGGAAGAGCTGTAAAAATATTTGCTTCCAGATCCTCTGTTTTCATTCTGGTCTCCTTTTCACTGCTGCCCGTTAATAACGAAAACTATGTTAGGGTAGGTGCAGTGATAAAGCAAATTATTGTCAGTTATAAAACTGATTAGTAGGAAGTTATTAAAAATTAGCATTTGGGAAATGTTTGCGCTTCCCATTCTCTGCCAAGAGAAACCAAGAAAATCCCGAAGCAGCTTATGAACTTATTTCTAGAGCAGAGGTGTGATGATCAGACTCTCGAGTTCACTAGACAGCGGGTGTCTGGTGAAGGACGTAGGTGGAGCATTTCTCCTGAGCAGGGAGTTTTCCACCGTCATCAATATGTAAACGTAAGCTGAAATGTGTTTCGAACATGGTAGAAAGGAGAGTCGGGAGCGAATGCTACGAATACGGCAAAGAGGTCTCTGCTGCCTCCTCCCCCAGCCTCCAGCTTTCCTGGGGGGAATGGCAAGAATACTTTCCAGGCAGGGAAAGACACGGCTTGGTTATGCAGTCCCTTTTGATACAAGGAAACATTTTTCCCCTGTGCTTTAATTGCTCCGGGTCCTGGGCAGCTCCACATATGTGAACTGCTATTGATTGTCTACAGCTACCACTCATCGCAGCAGCTAGCTTTGTTGTGATGTGTAGATTGCTAACATTGTAATATAAGAAGCTCAGATTTAATCATCAATTTTACTGCTTTCAGTAGAAATGCATATCGTTTAAAAGCTGCCTTTTTCTCTACCTTCACCTTATATCTGTATTTTGAAGGGGTCCTACTTCTTAGCTGGCAACAACCTTGTTCATCACAGCCACCTTCATCTTGAACCATCTTCTTCCAGTCTTCTTCATTGTCTTTGTCCCATTCTCCCATCAGCAGATCCTCACAGATTTGTTACTTTGTGTGATTCTGCCACCTTTGGCAGTCGTCCCTCAGCAGTGTGTGCAGAAGACTCCCTGCCTCAGCACTGGCCATCGTGTGCACTGCTCTTCTCTTCGGGACCTAAATTCAATACCTGAACTGCTGCACTTTCACGAATTGTAGAAGTAGATCAAGGACTTCTTTCTTTTTAGCCATATGCTTATTTTCGTGGTTAAGTGATAAAGCAGCAACCCAAGACTCTGAGGAGGAAAATCTGCAGGTGAATGACAGAACTGTTACAAAAAAGCCTGATATTCTTAGCTGGAATTTTCTTTTTATTGTTTTCCACAGCTAATGGGTCCATGTAGTGGAAAACTTTATTGCAGAAAGATATCTTTTCTACCCTCTGCTTTTAGTTAAAAATTCTTCCTCCACCAAAGGCAGGTAGAGGGTAGGAGTATCTCCACCAAAAGAAGTTGCTATCACAGGTCATATGAGCCAGGTTCAAAGGAAAAATAAAAATTCCTCAAATCCACCTGACAGGTTTCTAGGAAGCTCCCCCAAAACATGACTAACTTAGGAAATTATTAATGAAACCGGTTCAGACTTTTTCTTAAAGGTTTCATTTTCACACTTTAGGATCCAAATCTGCAGAGGCACAGGGGAGTATCTTTACTTGCGTGAGCTAGGTAAGCTACATAATAGCATGCAGAACATTAGTCTTCAGCTTTTATATATCTGCAAATATATGCATCTGTCTGATCTCTGTTATTATAAATGAACTGCTTTTCAGTGGAACTAGGTCTTTGAGTCATCCCTTTTTTATTTAGCAAACACAATTTCGTTAAAGCAATCTAGAACAGTTTCATCAGTTATTTCCTTCCTTCCTGTTCTGCCAGTGGTGCGGGCTTTGAAATGGCTCAGAAGTATCATTGCACGCTAGAATCACTACAGAAAAAAAAAAGAAAAAAAAAGAAAGAAAGAAAGAAAAAAAGCTTAGGCCCACAAAACTGTCAAGGGCCGTTAGCACTGAGGCACAGCTAAGCAGCAGAGTGTGGTGCAGCTCCCACCATGGCCCTGCACGCCTAGTGAGGCCCTTCGCCTTGTCCCATTCCAGGGAATAAACTCCCCTAATTCAGAAGGGGAATTAGGGCTCCGCACACACATGCAGGAACGAGGTGTCTGCGACCCTGCCCGTGCAAAGGAGCTGCATGGGCTCTGATGAAGGGCTGGGGGCTGGCATTGCTCCTGTCTGAAGATGCCAGCTGGGAGCTTCTCAGGGGCAGCAGGACCAGCCATGCCGGCGAGTAGTTCCCCCTGCCGGTTCCTAAACTCCGTTTGGGGTTTGATAACCCCAAAGCGATTAGCAGGGGCCGAATTAATCTGCTCCTGCAAGCAGCAGCTGGCACCGAGCCATGCCCAGGAGCGCCTGCCCTCGGCTGCCAGCCCTGAGCATTCCCCGCGGACCATTCGCCCAGAGCTTGAGAGGAGAGGGAGGAAGGGAGAAGAAGGAGACTGAAGAGGGAGGAGGAGGAAGAGAAGGAGGAGGAAGGGCAGGCAGCTGGGAACGAAAGAGCAGCGGAACGGGCGGGCGGCGCGCGAGGAGGCGGCGGGTGGGGCGGGCCGCGGCGCAGCAGCATGGCGCCGCTCCGCGTGCTCGAGCTGTACAGCGGCATCGGGGGGATGCACCAAGCTTTGAAAGGTACCGGGCAGCAGTCAGCGCCTCCCGCAGCGCTGGTGGCCGCC